TGCCACGTTGTCGCGCAGTGGAGAGTTCCACAGTTACTGCCGGATTAGATCTGTCTCCACGTCGACGCCACTCACGTATGCGGCAACTGCCACTGGATAAACAGAAGCGTGACTCATCTGAGAACAGAACGTTTCGCCATTCTCTCATCCACATCGCTCCAGTCAGGCACCATTTTAAACGTTGGCTCTATGTTGTGGGGTCAATGGTAGTCTTCTTAACGGACGCCGGGAGTGCAGGCCACGTTCAACCAATCGACGGGAAATGGTTCTGTTCGCGGGAACATCCAAGGCATCTTGCACATGCTGCAGAATCGCGGTGTGAAGTGACTTGCGGGACCGCCACAGCTTGTCGGCGGATCCGTCGATCCACGCGTGCTGACGTCACTCTGGCTGCACGCACCTGCACCCCTCCTTCTTCCTATATTTCCTTGTTCTAACCATGTTCGCCATAGCCGATGCACCGTGCTCGCATCCATGTGGGTATCAGCTGCGATTTGACATAAGGACCAACCCGCCCTTCTTAGTCCAATCACCATAACCCTCGCAAAATCGTCTATCTGCTGGAAGTACCTTCGTTGACGGCGTCCTGGCATTCTCTCCTATTACACGTATCTTCCAGGACAAAAACCAACTTTCTTCGATAATTCGTCTGGCAGAAATAACGGCACAAATATTGTCCATTCTACACGTTCCTTCCCTTATAACTTACTTCACGTGCTGCGCATTTCACATCATTCGCATAACTCAGTGACGTGCGTATACTCTAAAATTTGCATAAATTTCTGACCACTCCTTCTTGGTGTTGCATTTTCAATGTCGAGAAGTGTATATCCGCTGATTGCAAAAATTTGTTGGAATCCATCGCTACCATTCTCATCTTCTTACGACTTTAATCAGCTGAGATATTAATTAAAAACTGTGAAAACGCTAATTTGAATGCGACTCAATAGCGGCATTAGGGATTTTTTTTAGTCTTCCCGTGTGGATCCAATAAATTAGTGATAAAAATTATAACTTTTGTCTAATTATCCAAATTTCTCAAATTTCTCGAAATTTAGAAACTTGTGTCGCTCTCTGAATGATAGGAACAACGGTGGTGTAACTGTTTTAGTCGCTTAATTATTTCCAGCTTAATCACAGATGAAACAACATTCCGCTTGCTATTGTTAACTCTTTGTTGACAGGCTGCGATTCGAAAGCGACGGAGGGGGAAGCTGGTATCCGGTCGACTGTTGGGTTGGCGAAAAGCTCAAAGTTCACGGATTTACACGTGGAAAATCATTTTAAAATTAATAAATCTGTAACTTCTGTCATTAATTTTAAATTCACGCGGAGTTGAAACTTATTTAAGGACATCAACGCGAGCGAAGTCGTGGGTAAAGCTAGTTAAATCATATATTTAATCATATTTATATTTTTATTCTTTTTATTTATTTATTTATTTATTTTCACTAAAGCAATTAACTTCGAGGTTGTTTCAGACTTATCAACAGATACCTTTCGAACGGTTTCAAGACGGTTTATCTTCAGATGTGGAAAACCCGTAAATTTGTATTCAGATTACGCAACGAATTTTCGAGGAAAGCAACCTATATACAGAGGCTGTTCACACATTTTTTAGACGACGTATATTGTATTCACAAAACTAAATTACATAAAATTCTTGTGTTTTAAATGTTCTATTTGACATCCCTTATTCTGAGCTATCTTTCGACACCGCAATTTCCAGGATAATAATGCCTTTTGAAGTGGCACAAGAGATATTCTATCCCATTCCTCCCGAACAGCTTTCCAGAGTCCTGTTAGGGTTTGGGGACAACGTTTGGATAATGCAGTTTTTAAAAGTCCGAAAGCACAAAAATCCATAGGTGACCCATCGGGAGATTTAGTAGGGATATCAGTTAAGGGTATGGCCTTGATACCAGTTTTTTGTTCCATTTCTTTTAGAAAATTTACAGTGGATTTTGATGTGTGACTGCTAGCTTTGTCCTGATGGAGTCTCACAGATAGATGGCACTGTGGGTAAAGCGATGGTATTTCATTCAGAAAAATTGGCGATAAAATATATTCCTGATAGTATTTGGAGTTAATCTTGACATCTTTTGCACTCTCTTTATTTTTAACTTGCCATTATAAGAAAAACCAGCAACAATCATGAATCCCTTAGAAAAATGTTCTTTCGATTCTTTGAACCATGTACTTAAACTTTTTTCTCCCATTTTATGATAATAAATGGCTCTTTTTTGTTACAATCATTTGAATACACCCATGCTTCATCTATTGTGACAATTGTCTTCCATTCTTCTTTGGATAAGTGTTTCTCATATAGAATTCTGCAGCTTGTCCTACATTGAGCGATATGCTTTGGAAGAAGACGATGTACAATAAGTTTTTTCGATTTCTTAAGATTTAAAATAACGTTTATCATTTTGTTTACAGTGGACCACCGAGCATTCTAATGATTTTGCAACTGTCCTTTGACTAGCGAGATTTTCTTTTAACATTAAACAACGTATCTTTGCAATAGTCTAAGATGTCCGTTTTTGTCCTTGGATATTTGTTTGGAATTTTTGTCCCACTTGAGGCTCCAATTTCACGTTTTTTTCCTTTCTTGTTGATGATATTACCTATCGACGTTTTAGATATTACAAAACCATGACTCTCACATCATTTTTGGATAACAGAGTATGCATTTTTCTCTTCGGAAAGCGTGTAAGTGTAGCCTTCGAACCACTGCTTTGTTAAATTCGCCATTTTGAATAAAAAACAAAACTTTCAATCCACAGACGATAATTTTGACTTTTAAAAACATAGTAAAATTGCATTTATTTCTTTTGCAGCAAACAATTTTTTATTACCGCTTACCAAAATCGTCTAAAAATGTGCGAACAACCTCTGTAAAAGAACAATAAATGTTTTTCAATTCTGCTAAAATTCAAAATTTTGCAGCTCAGAAATCTATTTTATGGTATTTTATCCCACCTTCAGCTCCACATTTCGGAGGACTGTGGAAGGCTGGAATAAGGTCTGGGAAGCAACATTTATTCAAAATTTGCAAATCGACTAAATTAGTTTTTGAGGGACTTAACACTCTAGTAATACAGATTGAACCATGCCTTATTTCCAGGCAACTGACTCCTCTTTCTTCACATCCTCAGGACTTAGAACCTCGTACTCTAGTACACTTTTTAATAGGTGTTCCTATAACGCCGCTTCTTGAGAAAGCTGCATCAAAATCGGTTTGCTTAAAGTCAAGATGGCATCTGATTCAACGACTTCATAATCAGTTTTGGTAAAGATGGCAAAAAGAATATCTCAGTCAAGTAGAACTACTAGAAAAGTGGATTTTGCATGTAGAGAATATTCAAGTAAATGACGTAGTGTTTCCCAAGGAGGATTCTCTTCCTTCTCTGAAGTGAAATCTTGGAAGAATCAGAGGTTTTCCTGGAAAAGACGGAAGCGTTCTGGTTGTCGAAGTAAAAACTTTGAATGGGCTTTATCGGCGTCGGATTTCCAATTGCTGTCCTCTTTTTAAGTAGTCATCCTAAACTTGAGAATTCAGGTGGGGGAGATTTATGCTAAGTTTCAAAATGTTTTTAAGCCTTATTTTATCCTCCTGTATAGGTGGGCTGTCCTCGCGCCAGATGTTTTTTCTGCGTATTTATTTTAAATTTTGTTTTTGTGGCAACAGCTGCAAAAAACAAAACTACTCAAGAATTCAGTATTTTATGAAAAAGTCAACATGAAAAAAATTCTATTAGTGCATTTAAAAGTCTAAATCTTATTTATTTTATCAATATTTATTTATGTCAAAGACAAGTGTTTCCAGATAACTAAAAGTCTATAAAAGTTCATAGTAAGCTATTAATAAATAATTAATTATCGAATTTAACACCAAATAGGGAGAAACTGTAACTGTGAACTGGAATGTTGTTAAGGCCAACACTTACATGGTTATCCTAATAGTATCGTATCTACACAAGGACGCAACATCTCCTCGTATTGGAGATGTTGTGTCTCAGTTGTCACAGTGAAACTCATTCGAAAGACAACATTTCTTGAATATGAGAAAATGATCAGCTGCATTCTGCCTGTGAAAATATTCTTTGGTAGTATTGCTTTATGACTGTTAATAGCGCTAAAAATTCTTAAATCTTGCTCTGATTTACACTAACAGAGTACTGATGCTTCCTTAGCAGCATTGTTATAATGCATTATCTGTATTTTATCAGTACTTTGTTCACTGGTTACCAATAATTAGCAGAGATCAGAAAACGCCAATAAATAATTTCCAAAACTAATAAACATGGATGAAAATTAAAAGAAGTACTTTACTTGAAAGTTTCAAAAATTTTTGATAAAAGTTTTTTCAGATGTTACCATCTGAATTTCCATGTACTTTCTCCAGCATTTAAGTTTATAACAATTAACTGATGCCCATAGCTTTATTTGTATTATAAATATCAGTTAACAAAACTGAAGCGAGGCAATTAATGAATATAATAATTACACAGTCATAGCATAAGATGTAAAATAATTTTTAATTTCTTCAAATGATTTGCATCTTCTGGAGTATTAAAAAGAAAAAAATTATTTCCTAATCATGATTTAAGATTTTTAGTCATAAAAAGCAAGTGAAGTTTATATTGAACGGTGTAAATTTCTGAAATCTTTTAGTTTGCAAGCGTTTAAAAGGAATGTGTTTAAATATCCTTGAAGGTCTAACTATTTACTATAGGATTTCTATCTTTCTTGCCAGTGTTTTAGGATTTGCTTCAGCCTAGTATACGATGTCCAGAGTCTCTTGAAATAGCTTTTAAAAATCGCTGTTGGGACAGACTGAATTTAATTAGATTTACGAAATAATTTTTAATGTCATGTTTTTGTGGATCTAATCTACACCGCTCTTTATGTATCTTATTAGGGTATTATACAATTTTTACCCTATGGATTTTCATTAACGAAAACGAAGCTCATTTATTTTTTTATTATGTTTTCAGAGAACATGGTTTCGCAAAAACTACGAAAAAGTTGAAGGATGTGATTTTCTAACAGTAGAATTAACATGCCTACTGCAACAGCATGTACCTGGAATACAAGTGAGCAAAACTTATTCGCCTAAACTTCTAATAGAAGTGTTGAAGATGTTCATACAGGATCTTCTCTTCAAATTTGAAAAGGTTTGTGTTCATTATTTATCACTCCCATCGAAATGAATAAGGAAAATAAAGAAAAAATTATTTATATGATTTTTCATTCAGTTAGCAAATGAAAGAACAAAAGACTAAATAAATGTTGATAATTTAGAAGTAAAACTGATATTATGCCTTGTAACTGAGCAAAAATGCAAGCTTAGTAACCTATTAAAATTACCACAAATCATTAAATTATTATTAGAATTAAAATACATATGTTAAAGCAACGAAACGTGAGTGAGCTAAAGTAGCAACAGGTATGCACGCAATATGGAAAGGAATGTCTGAAACAGGAGTTCTCAACTGCGGAGGAATTCACCCCCCCAGGGGTTGGGAATTTCATAGAATAATTTTCAGGACGGGAACTATGAAACTAGGTTCAATTAATGAAACCGAAACTATTATGACAGGTCAGCCTTTTGTTTACCTATTAAGTGCTTAGTTTTAATTTATGAATATAAAAAACTGCTTTTGTTCAAGTTTTGGTATTTATCAACATTTTCTGTACTTTTAGTTGTTCAATTAAAAAAGCACATTAATAAATAATCTAAATTTAAATAAATGTATATGTATTTTTCGAATTTAGAAAGAGGAGGGATTGATCGGTTACCAGTGGTGAAAAAGTCCATGGGGCAAAAACGTCTGAGAATCACCTCAAAACTGAAACCTTCCAGTACTGAAGAATAATGATTTTTAAATCTGCAGTTATGCTGTAGCTAAAAATAAAATTCTCATACATTATTTCCTTTTGATTATGTTTCTCATACGTTTTATTACTTTAAAAAACTGTGAAAATTTGAACAGTAGCATTAACTTCAAATAAAAAGGTGAAAAAAGGCGTCTTTTCATTTTAAATCAAGGTGGTATAATGAAAAATTAGTTACATATTTTATTACAGATCAAACTGGAGTTTATTCCTCACATCTGTCGCACAGATTATTGCATATATCACGTCCACGAAAGTCCTCACACGGCCATTATTTTGACAATCGTTGGACGCAGACATATACTTCCAGGTACAAAAGTGTTTTAAAAGGAGCAAAAAGATTCATGTTTTGATATATTAAAATTTAATAAAAAAATCGTTTCGTATAAAATACAGAATATTATTTTTTTTTACGTTCCTCTGGTCTCTATACTTACATTTAGGAAAATGTTATACTTATAAAAAAAAACCACTAAAAGTTTGATTCTGGTACAAAAAAAAAATTAAAAGAGATATTTAATTTTCCAATCTGCAATTTTGATGTCATTTTCTACTTGAATTAAGAGGTCATTTTGTACTTGCCATATATTTGAATAATTCCAGGTTGCTTTTTTCCTCTTAAATGCCATTTAGTGTTATTGTGTTAACATTACTAATGTGTAATGTTTTTTAATTTATAATTTTGTTAAATATGGTAGGCCGAATGAATTTTCATACAAAGAATTCATTAGCTTCGAAACGTTAGAAACATGTTATTAATATTCTAATGTAATTTTACTACGTTAGAATCCTAATCTAAAAATCATACAAAAATTCACTCGAAATAGTTTTAAATTTTACTTTGCGCAAACAAATTACGATGTTGGTAATATGAAAAAAATGAAGCCTAATAATGTCTTCTAGAACAAGAATTCCGTAAGATTCCATAATCAATATGTGTTGTTTGAAAAAAAATATATTGATCAATCCATTTGAAGAATAATGTGTGTATATATATATATATAACAAGCAAGGTAGTTAGTATAATACTGTATGACCAATTTGGTCTAGAAAATTTTTTGCGCAATATGCTGCAAAATTAAGTAAATTAGAAATTGTAGTAAGCTCGCCTAAAAGTTACCAGGAGCTGTGGCTCCAAAAAAGTTCAACACATTTAAAAAAAACAATGTCACTGAAGGGTGAGAAATAATGCTACACTAGAAAATAAACACAGTAAAATACTAAGCTTTGGAAACTAGTAATGGCAAAAAAATACAGTTAAATACCTATCGATGTGACACTTGAAAAATTAAAACATATGAAAATCAAACCAAGGAAGAAGTTGAAACATAAAACAAACAAAATCAGATAAAAATAGAAAGCGGAAAATGGTAAATTAGCTGAATTTGAGGTCCAATCTGGCTTTTCAAGGGAAATATCTAATTGAACGTCGAATCAAGCTAACTCCATTACGCGTTTTGCCGAAACAGACAATTGAAACTTTTTCGCTATAAAATTTTTAATTAGACAAAGTGTCTTGGAAAATTTATTAGTCTCAATTCTCTGTTCCAATTTCACGACGCGTCCGCACAAAATGACACATTAAGGTGTTAAAATATGTAAAAACTATTCCGATTACATCAAAAATCAAGACAAAAATAAAAATAAAAATAAAAATAAATAGCGGTCTGCTAGTAGTCCTAAATATACAATAACATACGGGCTGGACCTGCAAGCTTAAATATTTATACCTTTATAAAATTTAGAAATCTGTAATTAAATTTAAATAAAAATTTAAATGAAAACAAACACAGTGGGTCTTGCTAAGACCAAGAAAAAAGTTGTAGTAAAAGAAACAGAAAAAACTGATCTGTGGCGATGCAGAGCTCTCCCTCCTAAAACTATGTTGAAAAGGGGTTGTAATTCCCTTCTGTGTTACTTCAAGCGTCATCTCCTACTCGTCGTGTGACGTAAGTAGGGGAGAAACGAATGTCTTTTGGGCAATCAGCCAATACGATAAGACTGTACGTTAGCCGGTAACCTCGCCCTCTAAATTTTCGAAGGGGGGGTCGGAAAGACTTGGAAAAACGTGGATAAAGATTTCAAAATGGCGTCAGTCAAGTTGTTTGGACGAAAAAGAACTGCTTACAAAAAGTGAAAAAAATGGCTAATTCAGCTAAAACTACTTAACATGGCCACTAAATTAAGAGTAAAAGAAAAAAAAAACAGTTATTTTGTTAATAAAAAGTCATAATTCTTCAAGCTAGCGGGCGATCAAGCTACTATGAAAAACGAAAAGGCCCGATTCGTTAATAAAAGTAGTAGAAATGGCCATCAAAGAAATTTAAAACTATTTAAAAAATAGTATTAAAAGTATTGTGCCAAAATTTTTTTGGAGGAAAGAAAATGTAGTAGCAAGAATTATCTGTACATTTTTACATTAGATTCTCTGAATCACCCATCCACTTTATACCGTCCCATTGGACTTTAAGCATAAAATATCACTATCTAAGTCAAAAAATCTAAAAATAGGTAAGGCTAATGCCAGCTTTTTTAAGGTATTTTTAATTATTTTATGAGGAATTAGGTTACTTTTCAAGATAGTTACGAAGTATAGTATTTCTTCTTGTAGGTGTTTTGCAGTATTGCAGATTCTTTTTATTCTGAGTAGCTGTGAATAAATTATGTTAAGGATGACTCTTTTGGAAATATTTGAATTCCAGTTGGTTAATTTTAGTGTGGAAAAATTAAATTCTCTTCTTTTGTCGTAAACTTTTATAAAATTGTAATCAATAATATGTAAATCAAGGTAGACTACATTATGCTGCTCTGTATTTGTTTTATTTAGTTTTAAGCATGTAGGGTAGATATTAGCAACTTCTATTTGGTTGTAGTTATTAAGTGCAATGACATCTTCAATAGATGTGTTGGTAAAATGTATGTTCTTCTGTACTGAGTGAACGGACAAAGGTCAATTCTTTTGTAAAAAGGATAATTCACAGACAGAACTTGAAAAATTACCACCCATTGGGATTTTCTGCACTTGTTTAAAGATGCTATTGTTTAATTGAATAAAATTATTGAAAAGCACGCTGGAGAGGAAAAGTTGCTCTTTTTCGTTGCTAATAATGGTCGAAATTTGCGGAAATAAATCTGGAAGAGCAAGTAAGCTTGTAAATATTTCTTCAAGTGGTAGAGAAGTATACAGGTTTTCAAAGTCGTAGCATTGGATATGGTCTATTTTAAGTTAATTTACAGTTTTTAGAACTAGTTCGTTACTAGAGATCATCCAGTTGTAATGCAGATCCTTAAAATCATAGTTATTAAATTAGGTCACGTATCATACGAAGTTTTTGTGCAAAAAGATAATCTATTTCTTTAAGATAACTTTTGGATACTATTAGCTATGAACCTGAATTTTATTGGAGACTTATGAAATTTTGGTAGGGCATAGAGATTGGCAAACCTGTTGTTATATTTCTGGGGATGTATTTTAAGCCTTTTATGTAGTGCGTTAAATTTATTGAGAAGAATCTTAGTGCTGGTAGTGATTTTTTTGGTAAGTGCAGGTGTTATTTAACTCTTTATGCAGAAGGTTGAAGTAAAATTGTTTTCAAATAACACTAAAATTGTTGCTGGCTTTATCAATCTTCGTGATGATAAAGATATCTTGCAGTTTTTGAATAAGATCCTCTAGATGCTTTTTATTGTGTGAAGAGTTGAAAAAAGGTGACTTGAACAGCAAATGTTGAAATTCTTTAATTAGTGCAGCTTTCCATTCAAGAAAAGTTGTAGTAGGTAAATTGTATCTATTACTAGCTCATATGATAAATTTATCAAGATCATTATTGAATTGTTTGAGGCAAACGTGCTTATTAATACCGAAAGTAGGAATAAATTTGGTGCCAAGTTGCATAAGGGTTCGCAATTCTATATCTTCAATGATATTAAGATCTCCAGTAATAACATGTTGGTGGAAAGGATCGACATATTTTTTGTAGACAAGCATTAGGCAATTACATTTGTTTTCAAGTTCTGTCTGTGAATTATTCCTTTTTACAAAAGAATTGACCTTTGTCCGTTCACTCAGTACAGAACATAAATTTTACCAGCACATCTATAGATATATTGATGATGTCATTGCATTTAATAACTATAACAAAATAGAAGTTGCTAATATCTACCCTACATGCTTAAAACTAAATAAAACAAATACAGAGCAGCATAATGTAGTCTACGTTGATTTACATATTATTGATTACAATTTTATAAAAGTTTACGACAAAAGAAGAGAATTTAA